GATATCCCCCTGCCGCAACTTCTTTACAGTACAATACTCCGGCACAGCGAGCGAGCGTAGCCGGAACATAAAACGAAGGAAAAAAATACATATATAACGGTAAATCGAAAGCTAGTAAAAAATATGGCGAAATAATGTTACCTGTCATATTTTGCTAAATTGTAAGTCAAGTACGCCGCTCGCCGAGCACGTACACGCGTGCAGCGCAGGCTCCTCCCGGGCTTTTTTCTTCGCCGCTTCATTCCTCCCGATACTTTTTCCCCTTTTATTTTTTTCCTCGCTCCTTTACCTTCTTTTTTTATCTACATCTTCATCTCAATGTTTTTCTTTTTTTCCTTCGTTTTCTTTCTCTTTCGTACTACTGCTTTCTTTAGCTCCTCGCTGTCATTGCGTCTCAATAAGAGCATTAGAATCAACTGCCGAGGCTCGCTCATTGCGTTGCAGTTATGGGAACGGTAAGGGACGCTCGACTTTTACGAGGATCATCAAAATTGCCATTCGATTGGTATTACATTTGCCGAGGAACTTTTATATACCCCTTCGCCGTGGAGGGGCCCTTATTTAGTTGTCCATTTTCGCAAATTCTATACGAGAAGTGATTTAAAAAAGTTTACTGTTTCATGTTCCACGCTAACTGGGTCCGAGCAAAAATTTTTCATCTCCCCGTCCTAATAATGTCAAATTCAATTGTATTAATAGCCGTGGCGTGTCAAAAGGAAAACCCATTTTTCAGTCTCTATAAAACGAGGGTGAGACCAAAAAAAAAATCCTTTCACTCACACGCCTGAATCTACCTCCGCGCACCACTTGCCACGACGACTATTGAAACAAAAATTATCGACTAATGCTTTTTATGCTCACGGGGGCCGCTCTCCTGGGCTGGGCTTGCGCGATTTATTCGATTCACGAGCAGCGGCAGCAGCCAAGCAGAAGCCAGCAGCGCGTCGAGTAATTAATTAGCAATTATATATCACCCCTCAGCCATTCAGCGTGAGCGCGCGCGACATTCCTAAGCACGAATAGTAGCGTATACATTGAAACTCGGCAATAACTTTCAGCTTTTTAAGTTGAAACTCCAATTTCAGCTAATTGCCAGGCGCGTGAGTGAAAGAGCGAGCGAGAGAGAAGCATTTCTGCAGCGATCATTTTCATTTCTTGTGCCATACGCTTGAATCAGCTCGAGAAGAAAGAGAGAAATCACTTTCTTAGACGAGCTCTCCGTGCGGCTCCTCCGTTCGCCCGCGTGCATTGAAAATTGCACAGTCAATTGCAGCAATTGGCACGACAATTATATTAAAAATTCTCTTTTTTTCGAGCTTGAAGCAATTTCGCTTCTTAAATTCATTCCCGCGCGTTTTAAAAGATGCGTTTCAATTAATAAATTTGAACTCCGCAGTAGCCCGACCAAAAAAAAAAAAAAAACAAATATAACGATGATAATAATCGGGATTTAGCATACGCATTTGGACGGGCGGGAAACAAGCGTCTGCTTACAAATGATACCTTTGGGGTAAATTTAGCAGCCTTATAAATACGGTCGAAGAAATGTGACAAGCTAAATAAGTAAGTTTACCTCGTCGCGAGCGAGCCAGCACGGGGTCCATTCCTTAATCAGTAGAAACGCGATTTTTTTTCTCTACTCTATACCTTTTTTTCTCTCTCTCTCTCTCTTTCTTCTTGCTCGCAGGAGAAGAGAAAATGCCGCGCGCCAAGTATATATATCCCATCCTCGTCCCTCGTCTCTCCACGGTCTTATTAAACGCAACATGCTTCCGGCAAACAATGCTTAATCGCTTCGTCTACTTAGTAACCTCGCGCATAATATCCTTCTCGCTCTTTCTCTCTTTCTCCCTGTCGCTTTTTCTTCTTGCCTCTTAATTATTCCACCCTTTATGAATTTCTCGACTGGCTGCTGCACCGCGCGTATATATATAGCGCACTGCGAGCGAGCCGCGCGTCGTGTTGCTCGCTTCTGCTTCACCTTGAAGAATTAGCTCAAGACAACAACAAAAAAATCCGCTATCGTTGCCTCCCGCCGTTGCGCTTTTCCCTTTTGAGGATAGCTTATAGCGCACAGCTACGTGTTTTGTTTCTTGCGTATAATAATAAAGTTTCGGTCCGAAAAATACTTTAGCCTTACGCATTGAAAAAATTGATCATTGAAAGAAGTTGCGAAGGGTGGAGGGAGGCAAATAGGAATGTATATAGGCAAAAGGAAGAGCGAAATAATTTACATTTCCAGAGCTTACTCTCGTTGACGCATTATTTCTCCTCTCTCTATCTCTGCCTCTCTCTCTGTTTCGCTTTTGAGTATTATAATGGGATATTGTACGGTATCACGTAGGCATATTTCAACGGCGTCGAAGAGAGAGTGAGCGCAGCGGTATAACAGCCATGGCGTTCACATGGAAATATTTCGAGAATTTCTGGATTTCCAAGATTTCAAAGCGGCAAAAGGGAGTTATATATAAACGCGTTGGAGCTTTCGGCGCGAGCATGACGTTCAAACAACAACAACAACAACAACAACAACCGCGAGCGAGATATGCATTTATATAGAATATACACCCCGTCGTGATGCCATTGTGGCAAACAACTGTCTTTTCTTTCTCCCTATGACTCGCACACGCGCATAAACCCATGCAACCAACTTATGAAGAGAGTAACCAACGCAAATCCGTTCATGCGTGCTTACACCGTAACGCACCGACAATGACAAAAGGCTTATAGTTGATAAGCTGCTGCTTTTTATTTCATTCAATTAAAATCAAACGACTTGATGACGAGCGAAAATTGACTCAATATCGTTGAATACGACCGGGGGCGATGCTCCATTTTTTAAATTTATTTTTTGTTCTATCTCAGAGAAAATGGGATAAAAAAAATTGGCACACAAAAGATATTTCTAAAGTTTCACTCCGTCGAGTGCTCCAGTAAACCGGCAACGAATCCGTCAATTTTTTGTTCTAACTTTTTTTCTGATGAATTTTTGTGTTTCAACGAGTACAAAAAAAATATAAGCGCCGAGATCAGGCGTATACGAGCACAAGCACGCGCGCGCGCGCGAGTGTGTATCGAATTTTTTTTGACAGCAACGTCGGTAGTATAATTCGAAGTGGAACAAAATCTCGCAACAACAAAGAGAGTCACAAAAAAAATCGAAAAAAAAATAGAAAAAAGCTGCACGCTCCGTGACTGTACTCGTTCTTTCGTAAGTGAGCGATAGATAATATGCGCCCATACACCGCATGTGTGTGTGTGTGCGTGGATGAGTGAAAAGAAAATAGACATTAATATCGGAAAAGAAAAGCGAGAAAACATGATGTATACCGTGGTGTATATATAGAAGAGCACGTGTTGTATAAAAGAATATAATGCGAAAAGAGAAGACGAGCATCCGTGCGATGGTCAGGCAGCAGCAGTGCACACCATGTGTTGATCCTTTGACAACGTATAGAATTCAATGGATGAACGATTTTTCTGGCTCGTCAAAACCCAGGACACGATATTTATATTTTTAAGCGCTTGTGCGTGATACGTATCGCCCGCAGCGCGTCGTGCTTTATATATTCGCGCAGCAGTCAACCGTGTCGGCGGTAGTGCGGTGACGGGCAAACTCTTTCGATACCTTTATTATTTACTAATTATTTTTCCGGAGCGGGGGTTAAACTTTCGCGAGCTGCAAAGTTATAACGCTTAATAACTGAACTTTTTTATACGGCGTAGCTAAAAAAAAAATAAATAAAAAATAAAAGGATGCAATATTGTGTACAACGCTGGATTGCGCAGTTTCTTGGGCGGAAAATAATCGAAAAATATATCAAGTTTCAACAAGCATCTAATTTACTTTTAAACGGGCTCAAAAATATTAAAAAAGCCTCAAGCCAACTGAGTTGCTGCTGATATATATACATGCTCACCGCGCGCGCGCTCGCTCGCTCGCTGGCAAGCTCTTAAACTTTCTTAATTTCTGAATCAATCAATCTTTTCTCGAGAAGGAAGAGAGAAGGAGCGGAGGAGAAGAAAAAAAAGGAAAAGTAGTAAAAGTCTTGGAGTGTATAAAAAAATGAAGTCTCAAACGTAGAGACTTATCTTAATTTTTCTTTTGCAATATCCAGGAGCCCGACCAACTTGTGATTCCGAATGAAAGCAAAAGGCTATATCCTTCTTCTTCTTTTTTTTACCTACTAGTCGCTCACCGCTAGTTCTTTTTTTTGTGTGTTTTTTAACAAAACTTGTAAAAGCCATAAGAACAAAGTTCCATGGTTTCTTCTGCTTTCTTTCTCTTGTGTTTCCTCAACCGGATACTTTTCTTTTACTCTTTCCCCTGCCTTTTTTTCCTACTTTTCCCTCTCCTTCGGAGACTTTTTTGTTCGCCCTAGGTTCTTTAAGTTTCTCAAGTTCAAGAACGTCTAGCAACTAGTCGAAAAGACTGCCTTATTAATCGTGACGATTTGGTTTTAACTATATTTTCCTTCATGTCCCTAACGTATAAAGATTATGTTACGGCCAAGTGTATTCCAGCAGCTGCATTAATCATCCGAGTCAATAATGTTAAATCTATAATTTCAAGCAAAATTAACAACTTTTGTGTCCGCTTTAACGTTGAGAATTTAATGAAGCTCGACCCATCGTATGCACCTATTCCGGCTATATATATAATTCACCGGGGACTAATGTGTTCGTTACAAACAACAAGTACGCCCTTAATTTAATCGACTTAGGTCAATTTATCGGCTTACACACGCGAAACACGGCTTTACGTTTTCTTGCCGTGGCGCCAGAGTACATCGTCGTCGTCGTCGTCGCACCGAAGCAGCAGCGTAGAATCGATATATTCTGCCAAACTGTATATCAGGCCAGCCCCAACTTCATTAAATTTGGATTAATATACTTTTGATCATCGCGTGCCACAAGCAATATTTACTCAATAAAGATAAATATAAACGTTCGAGTCTTTAAACTTATTTTATACTTATAATCTTTGTTGTTTTTTTCAGGCTCGAACTGTCAATTTCCAGCGCAGTGGAGGGGAAGCTGGTTCCAATCGGGCGAGAACACCTTGATAACGATTAACGGCACGCGCATATCCAACAAAGGCCAATGCAGCGAGAATCAAGGAGATATGTTTCTCATTTACGATCAGTGAGTCGATTATAATATTATATAACATGCGTATAATTTTACCATGGGTATTATAATATGGTATTGAAAATAACGTTCCGTAATATTTTGATGAGTCATCGTACCGCAGCCGGTAATATACGTGCATACTTTGCTAGCAAATTGCACCCATCAGTCTTACATTATATATCTTTTTTTTTCCTCTACTCAGCTCGTATATATGCCTCTGCTGCGTTAGCAAAGGTCTCTAAACTCTCTTGCTCCTGCTTACAGCACGTATACGTATACAGCAGCAGACACACACGCTCCGCACTCGAACGTAAAGAGCACCCGCACATACACACGCGCGAGAAGTGCGCGAGCGCGTTCGAATCCCCAATGGTGCTTTCTCTCTCACTCACACACACACACACATACACATCTATATGTACAGAGGGAATGCATTGCGAATCAGCAAACGCACATGCCTTTCCTCTCTCTCTCCCCCGGTGGGAAAACGTGCTCTCTTTGGCCGGTCGCGCCTCAGGGAGATTGAAGGTGGGGCAGATTGCCTATTCAAACTCAGCGAATTTCATGAATTCTCACTGCTGCTGCTGCTGCATCGCGCAATGTGTACGTCTGGATGTGTGTATGCGCCTGTTTATATTCGCCGCCGTGAGCTTGCGCAAGTTCATCGCACGTACGGATGTCCGCACGTATCTGCGTGCATATGCGTGTGTTTATGTAAGACATTTTTTTTATCGTAATAAGGCCGAATCATATCAAACCAGCTGGTATCGATCGTTTGCGGGTCGAAAATCTCTTCTTCTTTCTTTTTTGCTTCAAAAACTAAAGCCGGCACGATAGCCGTTACGAGAGCTGTTAAAACTACATTTATATAAACGAGAAACGAAACGAAACATACATACACACGTAGTACGGGCGCGTTGCAGTGAGCGCAATTTGAAACGCTAAAACTACTTTAATTAAGAAAAGAGGTTAAGAGTCGTGAAGCTCGACTGCGCGCGAAAAGTACTCGTTAGGCACTTGACATTCATCGTTGCAAGTCGCACTCTCGACTTCTTCTCACAGTCGAGCTACTACTGCTGCTGCTGCTGCTGTTGCCTACGTATACATATACTGCATTTATAACTTTCGCTTTTCAAAGCTTGATAACTAACAAATGTTAATTTCCATAAGTGCCGCGCGCCAAAGTAGAAAAGAGTAAAATTTCTTGGACTGATCAAACTCGAGGAGATAATCATCGCGATACCGAGAGGGAAAAATAAAAGGAAAAGGATATATAAAAGCTTCTTGCTGCTGTTGCTACTGCCGCTGTGTGAGAGAAAAGAAAATTGCCGGGCATTACCATAAGATAAACGGTATCCTAGTTGGGCGTTTCACGCACTCTGTGTAAGAAATAAAGAGAGACGTATACACACATTTTACAGTGACAATAATCGCACACACAAGACCACCATGAGCGGGTAGAGAGAAAAAAAAGCGGCTGCTGCTGTTGCAGAGGAAAGCCATGAGGGAGAGCTCGAGAGGAGCGAGAGAATAATAATACTCCGAGTCCGTGAAAAGTATTTCGGTATGAAACACGACACGTAAGAAAAGGCTACAAATGCTCGCGCTCTGTACACCACGCACACACGCGAGCACAGAGGTATACACGGTTAGCCTGGCTAAGGATGAGATTTATACGAAGAAGCAAGCCAGCACGCAAGCGAGCGAGGCAAGCACAAAAAAAGTAGAGAAACAGGTACAAGTAAATACGAGCTTTATGCACGCGCGCGCTCGTCGTGTATGTAGCGACGAGGAATAACAGTGAGGATAAATTTTACGCTACATTGACATTTTTAAAACAGCGTCGCGATCGCATTTTTTCCTGCTAAGAGAGCGAAATGCTCGCGCGTGAAAAAGAATTTAATATCTCGCCGAGCGGCAGCGGCAGCAGCAGCTTTGCGGCGCGAGCGAGAGAGATAGATAGATAGATAGAAAGAGAGGCAAAAATATTCATATACCTGGGGAATGCATGCCCCGCGTGAATATTTGTTCAAGTTTTTTAACGCGAATAACCGAAATTTTATCTTCGCATTGATAAACGAGATAACATTTTTACTCGCTGATTTTATTTTAATTTTATACATTTAATTAACTTAAAAATAACAGGTTTTCTTTCATGTTTTAAATTTTTTATTCCGCTCAAATAAGACGCGAGAAAAATATTAATTAAATTATAATTGTTGCCGTATACTTTTCAAACGAATATAATAAGACATCTCTCAAAGTCACTGGTCCATTAAATTTACACACGTAAGGGAGCTTTAATACTCATGCATATAACGAATGGGGACTGAAGTTTCATTAATTCAGAGAAACGGAGGCAAAATAAATAAAACAAAATGAACGAAAAAAAAGAGAAGAGTAAAAAAACAACTTTGGAGCTATAAGGAGCGGCGGCGAGCGCATAACAAAGCTGCTTTCTTTCGGCTACGCGGCGCGAATAAGCAATCCTCCCAAAAGAAGATCCCCTAAGGTGGCTTAAGAATGTATTTGCTATGCCTCGCGTTCCATAGTCCGGACCGGAAAACCTTTTAAAATTCTGCAATCTCGAACTTTTTCCTTGGAATGTCTTTTTCTCGTTTTCCTTTTTTTTCTTCTTTTTTTTATTTAGCGCTCGCTCGTGATTCTGTATATGGAAAGTACCTTATTATAATGAAAATTGTACTTATAAAAAGCCTTTTGCTTGAATATTTTCGTACTTTGGCTAATTCCATTTCGATTGTCTTTTTGTAATTGCCTATTTTGTACTGTATATTTCTCGATAAAGCTTGGGTCTTTCGCGAATCGATTGCAAAAAAATGTCCGCTCAAAAGAGGAAAAAAACTCGAGCGTCTGAAGCTCAAACTTCTTTTTTTTTGAGAAACAGCGCATCGCGCGAATAACAGAGCAGCACAGCGAGCGACGCTGCAGGAGCAGCAGCACGAGCAACAGCACAATGTAATAGACGCTCGCTGGAGCGAGCTAAGTTTTAATTAATGTAATGGAGAGTGGCGCGTGATTAGCCTCCCAATAAGCGTGTGTAGAGGACGCGAAGCTGCCGCCGGAGTTGTGCAGCAGCCTAGAGATAGAGACGACGTCTTTCTCACTGTGACTAACTCGAGTGAGCTGCTGCGCGCTGAAATTTGAGAATTAAAAGGATATAGCTGCTGCGACTCACTCCCTCTCTCTCTCCCTCCCTCCCTCCCTCTTTGTCTCTCTTGTAATGTACGCAAGATGATCCCTCCGCGAAACAAAGTTACTGCAACCGAGGCTTTTCACGTTAGTTATCTGCTACGAGGAAAATTGGCAATTTTTATTATTTTCATTTTCGAAATAATTCTTCGTCTTATTTGATTTCCATTAAAGGTCTTTTAATTAATTATTTTCAAACCGACCCTCGTGCTCGCGTAAATATTAATCGAGAGAGTGAGCGAGAGAGAGAGAGAGGCAAGTTAATTAAAATTAATCATATGTGCTACGGTGCAATATTAAATTAATTAATTATGCAAAGTAAATGGAACAAATTTCTGATACGAGTCTGCTGAAGATTTCCCTTTGAGTCACAACGTGGTAAAAATAACTGTAAATATATTATATATTAAAATTAAAAACTCTTATAGACATTCGTCAATTATGTGCAACTGTATACAACGTTTTCCTATTATAACCACAATTAAGGTGTTTGCTAATCAATCAAATTGAGACGACGTGGTCGTCGTCGCGGGTATATAATACGTACCGCATCGATCGCATTCGATCTTGCCTGCCTCGCGTGTGTGAGGGGAGAAATGTATACGCGCTCACATTCACATACATATACTTGCACAGAAGGGACCAATCTATCAAAGCTCCGGATCGGCCGAGTGCCTTACCTTTCTCATCCTGTTACTCGTTTAATTATTTTTCTTCGTCTCAGCTCCGCTAGCCCCTTCCGGCAGTTCGTGTAATCTCCGTGCGGGGCTTTTTTTTGCCTCTGCCTCCCTTCTTTCGAGACTTTATATATATACGTAATGCAGCGTACACCTCTTTTTTTGTGCGCACGCCTGAGACAGAAAATAAAGAGAAATCCGAAAGGTATTAAAGAGATTGTTAGCTTTAATCGCTCACTGCGAATATCGTAATTATTAAGTTCGCCTCCTCTCTGATGAACACGTCGCCCGCGCCACCCCCCAACTGCGACTTTCATCCCAGCGAGTTCAATATACCCTCGCTGCGCGAGATTTAGTTTCGATCTCTTAGGTCCGAAAACTTTTTGCTCGAACGCCCAACAAATTATTGACTTTCACCACTGGTGAGTATATTATACATATCCGGAGCGTTGCTCGACTCAAGGCGCAGCTTTCCCCTAAAAGCTGTAATGGAATTTTACGAAGAAAAATGACGCAGACTACAACGCGCGGCGTGTCCCTGGACTGCATTCGCTCACGAAACAAGATTCGTCCGACGACGAATTGGCTAATTCGTACACTTGGACTGCTCGCTCGCTCGCGCGCACTCTGTATTACAGTCTTATTCTTACGCTCGCCCATTGTCGCACAGCCAGGGTTACAGCACCATAAACTTGTGACGAAGCTGCCTGGAAACTCGCTTTTGGGAAAGAGATGCTCACGCGCGAACGAGAGTATTCTCATGGATATAAACCCAAACACAGTCGATCTTCTCTTCACCAACACGTACGAGATATATATGAGCAGTTTTTTCATATATGTACAACTTTTGTGCGGGGGGTTCTCGGATCTGCCCCAAAATTTAGTATGTTATTTGGGTATGTGAAAATAGCCTTCAGGTAAATTTTTAGCCCGCTAGGGGCCTTAGGGCCCAAATTTGGGCCCCTCGAAGGTCCAAAAATAGCCGTTTTTACCTATTTTTGCGTATTATTCAAATATTTGTAACTCGGGCACCGGTGCATATTTTTCAACTCTGAGGGTCGCATTTTTTAGGTCAAGACATGTACTTTTTGTAAAAAAATTATGTAGAGCTCGATAGACCAACCC